GTAAGAGTTATTTTTTATTATAATGTCTCCAACAGTTGGGAAGAAAAATATTAAAAAACAGGACAAGGGAATTGGTGTCACAATTATAAATACAACAAGGTAAAAAAGTAAAAAAAGCAGGTATTTTTTTTTATCACTGTTTTTATCTCTCAGGAAATTGACCTTGAATAACCTTGAATAAATTTCTTTAATATTCATGACTTTGAATAACCTTGAATTTTGAATAACAAAATTACTTAACTCTGATTGGTTCTTTTATGATTGATTAATTGCTGCTCGATCTTGTGAGACTTATCATTTAAAGGTTATATGCAGACAACTTCACATAATGCTAAACAACTCACTGATTTTGAGCATCAGGTTATTGTACTTTTCAAAGAACATCCAATGTGGGGATTGGCAAGATGTGCAGAAATTCTTCTTGAATTTTTCTGTTATCAGTCATCAACAGTTTTTAACAATTGTCTCATGTCTTTTTGAATTTATTGCTTTTTTTTTACTAGGCATCCTGTTTAATATTGACTGGGATCAATGATTATTTTTTTTTGGTATCAGAATGAAATATGAAATTAAGAATTTATTAAATTTACTCATTGAATTTGTCTAATCAAACATAGATTGAATTTTTCAATAGTATTGATTGTTATGGTCAATATTATTTAATTATTGATGAAAGAAGATTTGAAGGAAAATGGAAAGTCTTTAATTCTGAGATAGAAATCAAAACTTTTAAAGTTTCCTTTGTCTTTCAACTTGGAGTCAGTCTTACCTTTTTAAATGTATACAGTAGCCTGAATCTCAGCCACAATAATCGTTCAGAAGACAATGTTTAGAAAGACCTGGATTCCACAAAAAACAAAGCTGCATCTTTTGTGCATATTCTTTGACATTGATTTAGCTTTAAAAGATCAAATTGTTAGCAGAAGAATGTACTCTCTGAGGGTTTTAATGCTTTTAAGGAACCAGAGATAGTTGCCACTTTGTTTGACAGCTGGAAAACACAATGACTTGCACTGGATTCTCAATGAAATATTGAAGTTCTCTGAATTTGTATCAAAACTCAAACATCAACAATTCATTTTGATTTTCCCTGAGCTTTTTTCCTGGAATTTTCCACTAATACATTATGTAGCTAGAAGTTGGCAACGATTTTGATTTAGGGGATCTGTCCTCAGGATTATGTTAGGCTGAAAGATGAAGGATCTTTATGATGAAAACGATAAAAACCAATCTACCAGAAGATATTTCTTGAGAAACACAAATTAACCTTGCAGCCCTGTAAATATCATACAAAATTCTAAGCATGTAGTGACTAAAGAATTCAATGTTTAAGATATGAAAGAAATGGATAAAAAAATATATTTCCCCATGTATATAATGTATGTAGAAATTATAAAAGACCTGCAAATTTGTTTATTTAGAATCATTCAAAAATTGAGTGAATGTCAAGCCAAATCACTGATTATTAATTTTGGATGAGCTTTTCTTTCATCTTATATCTGCTGCTTTTTACCATTAGGCTCAATTTATTTTACGCACTTAAGTAATTTAAGAAAATTAAAATAAAAATCAGGAGACACATATTTTCTTTGATATGATACTCCTAAACAATTGTATGATTACGTACAGAACAATAATTCCAACAATAATTAAAATTAATGATACATACAATAGTATACACTAAATTTTCATAATGCTGTAAAGCTGAATATTGCACATCTTACCAAAAACATTCCAAAGATACTAAATAATTTTAATAGAAAACTTGTAATTAAGAGATATACATGAGAATGGAAAACCTTATTCAAATAAAGAGGATTTGAGATCCTCTTTACTTGAATAAGGTTTTCCAAGCAACAAAAATTTATTACAAGGTGGAGAATTTACCTATTATTCATTTTATCATAAAATAATTTCTTTTAGGTTTTTGTAAGTTAAAGTTTACAGAGTGATTGTTATATTTATTGACAATCTTTTACGTAGATTTACAATTCAAAATGGCCAGCTTTTGCTTTCATCACAGGACTTAATCTCTTCTCAACTAAAGTGCATAGCCACCTCTTCACTCAAATTGTGCCATGTCATAAGAGTTTCTTTCAGGCCTGACACAGTTGAATATGAGATATATTGCTATCTTACATGAACCGTATTACAAATTTCATAGGATTAATGTCAGGACTTAATGGAGGCTAAATTGAATTGTGCAAAATCCATGGAAATATCTCTTGCTCCAGTTATGCATAAAAATGGCTGTGAGTGTGAGAGCTCCATCTTTAGTAAAGAGAGCAACTTCTAAATGTGGCTGGCAACAAGGATAAAACAATTCTCTACAACATTTGCTGGTAAATGCTATTCATTCTCGCTCCTTCTACAATGAACGCCAAGGATGATTTCAAAACATAGAAGCAAAAACAGTCCAAACCATGACACCAGTTGGTTTCTGTCACTTGATATGTGTTCTGATACATTCAGAAATGTTCCTTGGAGAAGTGACATATAATTATAAATAATTATATTAGACACAATACAACATGGCAAACAAGAAGACTCATGCTACATCTCTCTGACCAAAGCTCAATTAGGTCTCATAACTATATATAGAGACCTACTAAAACACTAATTTCATTTATCTATATGTAAAAAAAGGTTAAAACAATGGAAGCATTATTAATAAGTCAAACCATATAATAATTATCAATATTTATTTATTTATATATTTCCTGTCCCATCTGTAGATTGGGGAATAAACCAATTTAAGTTAGTAAATTTATAAGTGGTCACTTCTCTTAGTAATTTTAACAATTGATACAAATAAAATATTTATCTGCATTTAAGCAAAATTATTTCTTGAGCAAACTGAGCCATTTAATTAATCAGGAATAATCAATCAATCATAGATATCATTGCATTTATTTATAAGTAACAATGATTTTCCAACAAATATATCACAGTCTGTCTATATTTCTGAGATGAGGTATTATGTACAGTATTTACATTAGTCGGACTATTGTCCTCATCTTTGTCGCCATATTTGTCACAACGTTTCGGCCGTTGTATGCTCCGGCCTTCTTCAGGTGGTAGGAATTTCGAACATCAGGAAGATGTCCAGGTTCTACTGGATCATGGGAACTCAATAAGACCTTCGATACAGTTCACAATGGAGAAAGAGAGTAACAACTCACTCCCATTCCTGGATGTACTAATATCTCGAACAGAGCATGGGTTCAAGACATCCGTATACCGTAAACCAACATTCACCGGACAGTACCTCAATTTCGACTCCCACCATCCATACAGCGTAAAGAAAGGGATCATCCGATGCTTACAACACCGAGCAAAAGTCATAAGTGGCGATCCAGAGACGTTAGATAAGGAATTGGTCAGTATAAGTAGTACCCTACAACATAACAACTACCCTGGGTACATGGCAGCAGCCCCCAAAAACTGGGATAGGCGGGTACAAGAGGAGGAGGAGGAGGAGGACAACAACACTCAGAAAACAGTATTCCTGCTTATGTGAAGGGGTTATCAGAGAAAATACAAAGGATCTGCGGTCCATATGACAACACTTCGCAGATATCTCTCACGAGTGAGACCCCCCACAGAGAGGAACATGACTAAAGACTGTGTGTACGCTATCCCGTGCAGCTGTGGAAAGGAATATAAAGAAGAAACAGGCCGCATCCTCAAGGTAAGACTTCAAGAACACCAGAAAGCTGTAACGAGAGGGGAAGTAGAAAAATCAGGCATGGCTGACCACGTATGGAGAGAGAAGGGAGATCACCGCCCCCTGTGGGATCATGTTGAAATCATAGATAGGGAACACCATTGGAAAATTCGTAAACTTAAGGAATCAGCACATATGCTAGGCCACAAAAATCTCCTGAGCCGACCAAGCATAGAAATAAATACAATATGGTAACCAGTAATAAGGAGTGCCAGAGAAAAGCAATGATAACAAAGTTGCAATATGAACTCTGGTAAAGACATGCAATGATAACAACAAAAATTGCAATATGAGCACTGGTAAAAATGATGCTGAAAACATTAGGTTTATAATACTCAGAAGTTAACACCCAGATGTCATCAAGGACACATGGCACAGTGGATAAAGGTGTTGGTTAGATCCAGTGACAGGACCCAAAGAAGGTGAGTTCAATTCCTGGTTAAGGCAGTGGAGAACTTTCAGAGGGATAACTGAAAACTGACATCCATCAAACATGGCACGTGGAATTAGAACAGTCTACCCCAGTGATTGAAATAAAGGGTTCAGTTCGAAATTCCTATCACCTGAAGAAGGCCGGAGTGTACAACAGCCGAAACATTGTGACAAATATGGCGACAAAGATGAGGACAATAGTCCAACTAATGTAAATATATCACAGTGTTTTTATTAACATTGCAGCAGAAAATGGATCAGTCACTATATATTTTATCTGAATATGTGATTTATGGTATCCTAAATTCAATGCACTTTTAGCCTCTAAATATATAATTAACTATTAAGAAATAAATTTAGTATTAATATTGTGAGTGTAATTACAAGTTCTTATATTATTTAGTCATTTTAGTTTTGCATTGGTATCCAAGATTCAACAAAAACTTGCTTTATAAATCCATAATTAAACCTAAAGAATTCCCTACATTTTACATTGTTTTGCACATTTAAGACAATAAAATGGAAAATAAAATTCCCCTGAAGAAAGGAGCAGATTAGAACAAGAGCAAAAACAAATTATGCATATTTCAGGATCAGATAAAGAAAAGGTGAGAGGCTGATAGGTAAAGATATTCACAGGTATTGTATGCAGTGAATCAATAAGAGCACAAGCCAAGTGACGTGAGGCTCAAAGGTGAACTAATGAATCAGAAGAGGAGGGTAATATGAAGAGAACAGAGCTGTGTGTGCAGAGGTGGGGAGAGAGACATATAGCCTAATTGAAGAGAAAAGATTCTAATGCAAGAAGAGCTGCTATGAGAGAAGGTGTAGCTGAAAAGATTCAAAATGAAACAGAGGAAGGAACCAATGCAATAAGAGTTGCTATGAGAGAAGGTGTAGCTGAAAGGTTGGAAAAATGAAACAGGAAGGAACCAATGCATGGAGAGTTGCTATGAGAGAAGGTGTAGGTGAAAAGATTCAAAATGAAACTGAGGAAGGAACCAATGCAAGAAGAGTTGCTATGAGAGAAGGTGTAGGTGAAAAGATTCAAAATGAAACTGAGGAAGGAACCAATGCTATAAGAGTTGCTATGAGAGAAGGTGTAGCTGAAAGGTTGGAAAAATGAAACAGGAAGGAACCAATGCAAGGAGAGTTGCTATGAGAGAAAGGTGTAGGTGAAAAGATTCAAAATGAAACTGAGGAAGGAACCAATGCAAGGAGAGTTGCTATGAGAGAAGGTGTAGCTGAAAGGTTGGAAAAATGAAACAGGAAGGAACCAATGCAAGGAGAGTTGCTATGAGAGAAGGTGTAGGTGAAAAGATTCAGAATGAAACTGAGGAAGGAACCAATGCAAGGAGAGTTGCTATGAGAGAAGGTGTAGGTGAAAAGATTCAAAATGAAACTGAGGAAGGAACCAATGCAATAAGAGTTGCTATGAGAGAAGGTGTAGCTGAAAGGTTGGAAAAATGAAACAGGAAGGAACCAATGCAAGGAGAGTTGCTATGAGAGAAGGTGTAGGTGAAAAGATTCAAAATGAAACTCAGGAAGGAACCAATGCAATAAGAGTTGCTATGAGAGAAGGTGTAGCTGAAAGGTTGGAAAAATGAAACAGGAAGGAACCAATGCAAGGAGAGTTGCTATGAGAAAAAATTGTAGCTGAAAGGTTGGAAAAATGAAACAGGAAGGAACCAATGCAAGAAGAGTTGCTATGAGAGAAAGTGTAGCTGAAAGGTTGGAAAAATGAAACAGGAAGGAACCAATGCAAGGAGAGTTGCTATGAAAGAATGTGTAGCTGAAAGGATTCAAAATGAAACCGAGGAAGAATCTAACTTCTTATGAAGAGAAAATATGAGAATTTGAATGGAAGAATATCTTTGGCAAGAAACAGAAGAATCAAACAGGAGGAGGAATGAGAATATTGGCACCATGAAAAGTGCAAGAAATGCACAAAACAAAGTTCATAGAGTAAATAATCTTCTGTTCACTGCAGCCAATTATCAACAACATAAATGCAGCAGAGAAAAATAAGCCATCATTTTTGATGGCATGAGTACACTAGTATATATATTTGTGTATTTAGGCAGCAATCCTTCTTTCATGCACATTTCATTGAAAATGACAGACAAGGTGCTTTTATTTAGTTTTTTATACAATTTCTCATACGATCTAATAATTTTTTTTTTCCGGATGATAAATTATATAAAAACTATCCGAATGATCTTTTTTATCCGAACACTTTCGGCTATACATTTAGTCATTTTCAGGATTATATTTTAACTGTTAAAATAAGAAATAGTTTGTTGTATGTATGTTTTATAAAATGTTTTCTTTTTTCAAAACATGGTCAAGATATTATGTCCATGTTCAAAGTTAATATTATTAAGTGTTGTTATTTTTTGTTTTTATTAATAAGGCTTCCATTATTTTTAGTCTTTTTTTGCATGTAGATGATGTTATATTAGTGTTGTCAACAAGTATGTTACAAATAGTGTCCGGTAGGTCTCCATGAAAATTTAAATGAAATCTAATTGAGCTATGGTCAAAAAGGTAAAGAATGCTTGTCAAACATGTTGTAGTGTGGCCTATATAATTATTTACAAATTTTGATTGATCAGGTATACAATTCCTTAATGGGCATTTAAATTCGTAAATAATATTTGCCCTATTTAATTTTGTTCTAGGAGGTGAATTAACTCTAAGGTTAGAGGGCATTAACTAGAGAAATTAAGATAGCAAGAGTCTTTACTAGTTGTTTTTTTGTAAACAGAAGTTTTAAAAATATTATTACTAAAATCGATGACAACATCTAAGAAAAGATGTTTATTTTTTTCACTAAGTTCATAAGTAAAATTTAGGATGGAATTTTGTTGAAATGTAACTTTCAAATTTTCTATTTCTTTCTGGTTTTCAGCTAAAATAAATATATCGTCTACATAAAAAATATATATTTTAGGTTTAATAACTTTAGTAAAAACTTTGTTTTCAACATAGGACATATAATAATTGCAGAAGCATGGCCTGAGAGGGTTTTCCCATACTTACTCCATCAGTTTGTGTGTAAATAGTACCATTCTGGCTATAAAATGAACTCTAGTGTTTAATAGTTTTCTTAAAATATTGGGTTGGATTGATGGAGTTGGAATTAAATTATTTTTATACACCGACTTAATGATAATATCAATAGTTTCAGAGATGGGAACATTAGTAAATAAATTCTCTACATCATAAGTGCCGGGGTTTCATTTAATATTGTGCTTTTAAAGTATTTGGAAGAATTCATGGGTAAATTTAATGCTATAGTTAGTAGGGAGATTTGGGGTCATAATATCATTGAGAAATTTTGATAGTTGGTATATGCATGTTGGAATCTGAGAAATAATAGGTCGTAATGAGTATCCCAGTTTGTGTATTTTAACATCACCGTATAAGTAGCCAGGTTGGTAATCTCCAAAAATTCTGTTTATTTTTAAGGATCCTGCAACAGCGTTGTTGGATGTTATAAGTTTATTAACATATTTTTTAGATTCAGTTGTGTTCTTATTCAATTTAGTAAATTTAAAACGATCATCAATGAGATGCTGAAGTTTTTTTCATATAATCAATTTATCCAAAATTATAAATATTGGATTTATCAGCTTTTCTGATAACTGTGGGTTGTTTTTTAATTCTTTAGCAGCAATTTTAAGTTTTGTTGGAATGTTCTTGTTTCTATTATGTGGCATATAATCTTTTTACAACTTCTACCTTGAGAAGATCTTTGAGGTTTGGATGGAGTATTTTCAATTTGTCCTTTTTCAGTTGACATAATGATTGATGTAAGATTTCAATTTCAGTCTTCTTTGTGAGAAGGTCGAATTTAAGTCTGAGATGGCAATTTGGTCCTAGATTTAAAAATTCCTTCTGATCATCCGTTAATATGTGACTGAATAGGTTTATGTATTTATCATGATTGTTGGGAAGTAGAATATTTCCTTGGTATAAGTTGCATAGCTTTTTTTTTTTGTAATTATTTGTCGATGGTCAAGTTCATCATTATTAATAATACTTGTGTTGATGTAATATTGTGTTTCATTATATTCAGTTTCAGTTAAAGTGTTTTTTAGTACTGCAATATGTTTATGGATTTCATTATTTATATGATGGGTTTCGTTCTTAGCTTTTGTTATTTGTCGTAAAACAAGATTTTTCCTGAAAGTTATAGTTTCGCTTTCCTTGTTGGCTGCCATGTCATGCAATTTAAAATTTGTGTATTTAGGAAGCAATCCTTCTTTAATGCACATTTCATTGAAAACGACAGACAAAGTGATTTTATTTAGTTTTTTATACAATTTCTCATACGATCTAATATTTTTTTTTCTTTTCGAATGATAAATTATATAAAAACTGTCCTAATGTTCTTTTTATCCGAGTGCTTTCGGCTATATATTTAGCCATTTTCAAGGGTTATATTTCAACTGTTAAAATAAGAAATATTTTTTTGTATGCATATTTTATAAAATGTTTTCATTTTTCAACACGGTCAAGATATTATGTCCATGTTCAAAGTTAATATTATTAAGTGTTTGCTTTTTGCTTTTATTAATAAGGCTTCCATTATTTTTATCCTTTTTTTACATGTAGATGATGCTATTATATTAGTGTTGTCAACAAGTATGTTACGAATAGTGTCCGGTAGGTCTCCATGAATATTTTAATGAGATCTAAGTGAGCTATGGTTAGTAAGGTATATATATATATATATATATATATATATATATATATATATTCTCGCTCAACTCTCCAGTCAAATCTGATGTATGAGGGTCAAGCAGATCTGTTCCAAAGAACTGAAAGCCCAACACCAGAAAATTAGATTTGTTTATAGTGGTGAAGGCTTTGTGCAGAACCATTCACACTTTTTGAAGGGTCAACAGACTTTTTCTTTTCCTTTTCTTCATAATTTTAGTTCCTCGTTAACAGTTCTGATGAGAGGAGACAAAACCGGTCGACTGGTGTGTGTTTTTGTTTTAAATCTATCGTGGCCTACAATATAAAATTTATTGCTTTTTATGCCTTAATACGCTTCTGGAATGTTTCAAACATATTTAAATACATATATATATATATATATATATATATATATATATATATAGTCATCCACGGAAAGACTGTTTCACTGCATCAGTGTGGCTAGACATGTGATTGCTTCAAGCAGAGATCAAAACCTGATCAATTTGAGATCAGTTGAAGGCTCTCATCCTCAGGCCATCAGCACATGGTATGAAGAAAAGGAATTTTTCATGCATCATGTACAAGATATAAACATTACCAACTACCAGAGGGCTCAATTCATAGTGAAGAGCTTTTAGCATTAATCAGCAGTAGCCAACAAATTCCCTTTCTTCCAAAGTGCTCAACCTATGAATCCATATATGCACACACACACACAGCACCACTAAACTCAATAGGATTTGCTTTAATCTCAATAATGTGCTTTTCCAAATAATTTATATTGTGGTGAATAAATAAAAATAAGTCTCTTTTCTTCACTGTTTTGAAATTCGTGAGCCTGTGTGAAAATTTATTTTGACCAATAGAAAAAGGGATTGGCTGAAGAAAAGACTAAGGCAAAGTTAAACGAGCCTATGTGAAAAAATTTTTTTGACCAATGGAAAAGAAGCGGCTTACAAACTGAGAAAAAAGTAATGAGCTGATGTCAAATCGCTTTTTGATATAAATAGGCAGAAAAAGTTGAATCAAGCAGAGAGTGAAATAGAGAAAAGGAAGAAAGAAGCAGAGTTTCACACATCTGAATAACGCCAGTATCAAATTACATGCTGATACATTATCAGTGTCTAATGAAAGCAGGACAATTTCAAAGAACTCTGTTCAGCTATAAAGCTAAGTACCTTAAAATATATCTTTTCGTTCATGTTGAATATAACCATATAACTTTTATGTGAAAAACGAATTCTCAATTCATTTTAAACATTTTGGAATATTACTTTGTGTCTGATGATTTAATATGAACATTTTTTCTTCATGATAATTCATCAAAGGTAGGAACTTTAAATATTTGATTCTTTTTCCTGAAACAAACTACTGATAACTCTTATTGTTTAAACTTGTCAATAAATTCCTTGTTTTGTTAAATATAACATGTTTGTTTCCTTGTCATTATCCATTGTATACTTCAATATAATCTGCAGAGAAGAACCATTTTAAATCCTGCTTTAAGGATTATTAATGGAGGCCACCATTGTAGCTAAATAACACCTTTTAACACTTTCAAAAAGTTTCAAAAGGTCCATAGATCCTCTCACATTAAATAAATACAGTCAAAAATTAAATTTTTGCATGGTGTCTCTCTAGATGTCATAATGATGACATTTTTATACCTAGATATTAACCTATCATCATGAAATGTAAACAAGCCTCATACAGTGTTCAACAAAAGCGAAACATCATTGAAAGCATATGAAATGGCACAGCTTGTAACAAATTCTCTAAAGTGAGCAGTGTACCAGAATCTACATTGTGAGCTTGGATCAAAAATGAAGAAGAGATATGAAGTTTTTAGATGAGGTAGATGAAGGAGGTTTGAAGAGGAAAAGGCAACATTTAACATGTTCAGTGAAGCTAGAAATAATGGGATACCCATGCCATGGCCCATTATACAAGCACAGGCTGAGAATATACATCAACAACTTCATGGTGAAAATGCAGATCCTGAATTCAGCATATCTAGTGGATGGTTAAGAAGGTGGAAGCAGTGCTATGGCATGGCAAAGGTAAAAATAAGTGGTGAAGCAAGGTTGGCAGACATACAAGACATACCAAGGTTTCAAAATTTCATGCAAGAGTGGCAACTACATCCTGAGATGATATACAATGCAGATGAGATGGCCCTTTACTATCGTTTCTTACCAGAAAAATCCCTTGAAGTAAA